CTGAAATTTTGCATACACGTTTAGTTTGGATGACAATGCATGGTGGCACTAAAAGCTTATTTAAAAAAAAAAAATTATACATGAACTTATTCAATATTCCAACTGCATAAAGTAATGTTTTTATTTCAATTATGGAATATTTATATGAATAGTTATTATATACTTCTGAAAAAAATTAAGGGAGCAAAAAAATTTTTCGAATTTTTTGTGATTTTTCAGAATGCTGTATCTCAGTTAAAAATGATCGTATCAAGGTTTTAAAAAAAGCATTTTAAAGCGCCGAATGTTTAGTTTCCAGATTTCTTAATTAAAAATTTTTAGGAGCGACAGTCATCGCGAAATTCTAAGAAATAAGACTAAAAAAATTTTTTTCAAATTTTTGCGTTTTTTTCTCGGTCCACGGGCTTGGAAAAATTTTTTACACAAAAATCATGATATGGACTTGATAGCCTGTTCATTCAGCTTTAATTTCTTTTTTTAAATTTTTCTCTACGTTAATTTGACCCGGAGATATTCGACTACGAATACAAAAGCATCCTTTTGGCTTTAACCATCGATATCTCAGCAACTAATGATCAGACAGAAAATTGACGGGCAGTTTCGAAATCTCGAATAAAGTTCCTACAAGGCTATGTAGCGTTCCTGGAAGAAAAAACATTTCTTTCATCCTCGACATTAACTTGAAAAAAGTGAAAAAAGTGACTTTTTGACTTGTTTTGCTAAGTCGACCGCATCTTTGCTAATATCGATGGAGAGTCTAATGCTTGTACGAATTTTTACACCTCGATGTACCCCCAAAAGCTCCGTAAATGGGCAGATCGATCTATCGAACGGTTTTTCCGAACCGCTTAATCAAAATTTCAGAAAAATTTAAAGGAGCAAAATTTACATTTCTGAGCACCCTGTAACGTTCGTAAAAATTAAAAATTTGATTTTTTTTCAATTCTTTCATCATTGGGCATTTTTTGCTCATTGAATTTGAAAAAAAAATTAATTTTTGAAAAAAAAACGTTTTTTTTTAATTTTTGGAAATTTTTTGAAAATTTACTCTTCTTTATTTTTTAACAACTCAAGATAAAAATATTGAGTCATTTTTGAAGGGATGTACTCTTTCCGTACCGTAATTTCCTTTATTTTGAATTAACGAAATTGATTAAAAATTGATACCCCCAAGATTGGTGTAGTCCTCGATCTGCGAAAAAATAGTGTGTATTATCCTAAACTTTCTTACGAAGCTGAGTGACTTTTGGTATGTATAAATGCCGTCTAGGCATGACAAAAATTAAAAAAATTGAAGTCTACAAAAACTTTTGATTAATTTTTTTCACTAGAATTACAAAAAATATTGTTAGTTTTGAGAAAAACTGTTGGTTGATTCCTTTGAATCAAAGATAGAGTATAAAAAAAAAACCTGTTTTTTTCACACTTGTTAGGTTAAAGTTAGGATAAAGTCGGTGCTTTATCTCAATAAAAATTGACAAAAAAAATCGGTAAAGCTTAGCTTTCAGAGTGAAAACTTTTTAGGTATACTCAAGAGCATGTATGTAAAAAGTAGTCTTTGATATGGTTCATACATAAATTCTGACCTAATGACCTCGATCAAACTTTAGATTTAGGAACAGGAAGTCAAAAAATGTTGAAGTATAAACCACCTCTCAAAAATGTACTTGTATCATCGGAGCGTTAAAAATGACATAATATTTAATATTTTATAATAGTTAATATTTTTCTAGCATTTTGGTATGATCCAGTGAACGGAAAAATACTGCAACAAGGTCTTCTGTTCCAAGCTATTCCCATATTACTTATATTTCTAATCCTAAAATATGCAATTTACAGGCGAATTTTTGAGGTTATGAATAAATCAAAGATAAATAATGACTCGATCCCAATAAGGGATAGGGTGTTATATGGTTCGATAACTGTTCCGTTAATGTTTTTCAAATCTCAACATATGTGATTTTAATGAGTTTTAAAATCATGATCTGATTGATGAAAACTGATCTTAGATTCCCCAGCAGATCAAAATACAGGGCAATAGGGTTGTGTAGTATCCAGGATAAACCATTATTTTTAATTTTGTGTGTCTGGTTTATGAATGGATGCACAGCTGGCAAACATTTTAAATTCATTAAATGAGGAGGACAGAGGGTTGCATAGACGAGGGGTGTGAGTCTTATTAATTACAATTTAATTTAAAGTTAATAACAGCAACATAACGCTGTAATTGCAAATTGGTATATACACAGTATCGACATGTATTAAGTCTTATATAGGAGAAAATTACTAAAATAAACATATAGACGAACGGTCCACCCCTAAAAAGATGCTTAGAAAATCAAGGTCACCGACCACGAGGAGAGGCCAGGATGAAACCTTTTGTAATCGATTCATTGAGTTATTGAGAACAAAAAACCTAAGTAACATCTTTGTATCCTAGTGGCAGGTAATTTGTTATTAACAAAAAAGTTGCAAAATAAAAATATTGCAAAGAAACGCTCTGCACTTTTTGTCTCGACATTTTTTCGTAGAACGCTTCATTTTCGAGCTAGGGGCGATTTAAGGTCGAAAAATGGCTAAAAGTTGCCAACTTTAAAAATTCATATCTCAGCTCCTACCAAAGCTTTCGGAACGTTCAAAAGCGCAAAATGATCCTCGAGACTTATACTTTAATGAGGTATTTTTTTTAAACCCGCTCCTTTTTTTTAACCCGTTAAGTTTGCAGTTGAATTTCGGACGCTAGTGCCCACGTGCCACCCCTACGTATCGCTATATATAGATATAGTGCTGTCGTGCATATAATCGAATAAACGCTATTAATTCATTACTTGTTACAATTTTTACTATTTAGTATTTCTAACACTCATACGTATTTTCAAATTCAATTGTATATCATATAATTATTTATAAGATTAATAATCTAAAAATACGACCTTGAAAAAAATAGATACACGTTAGGAAAAGAATCTCTACAACCTTTATATAGTGTTATTTTTTTAAAATAGGTCAACTTTTTTATTTGAAGTAATAGACTAGTACTTCCAAATGCAAAATTGTAGCAAATAACTTGATTAAGAAAAATTTACAATGCCAATGAAGAAAAGTATTGTAATCTTAGACCTGGTAAGTACTCGGAATACCAAAGGTATTTTTCGAAAGATTAGCCCGGATGTCCCAGTACATTTAGTGTAAATGACGCTTAACTTTGATCGGCTATAACTACGTAACTAATTGATCAATCGATCTGTTTTTTTTTTTAAGAGGCGTCTTTCCAAGAATTTTTAAAACCTGCTTTAAAAAATTTGATTTGATTGAATATTCAGTTATTCTAATTGTTTATAAGTACAAAAATTCTACCAATGTTTAAACGAGCGCCAGAGCTCTCCTAATTGACGGATTCGAATTTTTCAAAAAAAGTTTGAAAGCTTGACAACCCTTGTATATGTGATTAAATTTTCAAGTATCTAAGGGCCTTGGTTTTTGCTGTGCAGAATTTTGAAAATTTGCAATTTTTTTTTCAAAATCTGGATTGCAAAATTATTATGCAAAATCTATCGAACCGATTTTGATGAAATTTGGTGTGATGATTCTACATAACATGAACTCTTCTTGAGCCAAGTATAAAGGTCCTATACCTAATTTAAATACCCCAAAAAAATTCCCTAAATAGTATTGTTTTTAACCCCAATTTTGCGAATTTTTTGATTTTTACCATAATAATCATTATTCATTCGATTTGTAACTGGTCATGTTTTGTAAAAAATTTAATTACAAAAATTTTTTTCCTCTTACATTTTCGCCTAAAATCAACTCTTGAAAAAATACATAATTAAATAGGAAGAAAAATATGACATTTTTGAATTTTTTTAACATTTGTGCCACGAAAAATTAAGCCCACGTCTTTTTTATGTGCATAGAAAAATTTTCGTTTCTAGTGATATTTGAAAGCCAAAAAGCCAAAAATCTCCGTGGATATACGATTCACCCAAATATGGCTTTTTGAAACAGATACCGTCTGGACTACTTTTTAAAACTCGACAACCGGAATTCAGGACTGATTTTTCGCAGACAACCCTATACCACCGTGTTCGTAATGAAATAATCTTTATTTTAATTTAACTTTAATTCATTAACCAGCCCGGTATCGATTTACCTGTTTATACCTGCCTACCCAAGAGTTGTGACGGGAAAAAATAGTCAACCTAACGTTTGCTTATTCTATGGGCTTTATACTTTCGATTGGTATTCACCAAACCAGTGAAATGTTTAAAAAAAATTTTTTTTTAATTGTTAATCATATTCTGGACTAAAATTTTTTAGACAACCCATTTGCAATATATTTATTGACATATTTAATTGGATATAAAATACTTTTCATCCATTAACGAGCTCGGTGAAGGTCATTATATAGCGGGATCTTAGACTATAAGTCTCGAGGATCATTTTGCGCTTTTGAACGTTCCGAAAGCTTTGGTAGGAGCTGATATGAATTTTTAAAGTTGGCAACTTTTAGCCATTTTTCGACCTTAAATCGTCCCTAGCTCGAAAAGGAAGCGTTCTTCGAGAAAATGTCAAGAGACAAAAAGTGTTTATTTTGCCCAATTTACCCCAGAAAATTGTTTGCAGAGCGTTTTTTTGCAATATTTTTATTTTGCAACTTTTTTGTTAATAACAAATTACCTGCCACTCGGACACAAAGATGTTACTTAGGTTTTTAGTTCACAATAACTCAATGCATCGATTACAAAAGGTTTCATCCTGGCTTCTCCTCGTGGTCGGTGACCTTGATTTTCTAAGCATCTTTTTATGGGTGGATCGTTCGTCTAATATGGCATATTTGTCAGAAATGATCCATTTACTAAAAATGAATTTTGTATAACTTTTATAGAAACTTTTATCCTAAAGGTGAAAATAAAAAAGTTACAGTAGTAATCATTTTCAGTGGGAAACCTGTACAAATAAACATGAATAATTAGCAAAATTACAATTATGTACTTTACCTTCAATGCTTGACAGATGCATTTAATATTGTCATTACCACCTTCGTCTAATAACTGTTTGAAACATTCAATAAGTAAGGCTCCATAAATAGTTAAATGGGGTAGTTGAGTATAGAGCTCAGCAATAAACAATAATACATTTTGTTTGTTTGCATTTTGCTCAAGTTGCTTTTTACATTTTAGATGCAACTCGGCTCTAAATTCAGGACAATTTTGTTCTATATACCAACATAACCTTGCACCTGTATATCTGAAATTGGGATCAACTATAGCCTAAAAAATAACTGCATATTAGAATTTTAGAATAAGTAGAGATATTCACATAACTTCTATCATTCTTATCATTTATGCCTTTCTATTTAGAAAAAATGACAAAAACTAAAATTTTAGCAAATTTTCTTATGATTTCAAACAAATATATAAAAAACAATAGAATGATTCTATGGCAACCTTGACTTTTTCAATTGTACTTGGCTATTAAATAAACGAGGATATTGTGCAAACTGTAATGAGGATTTGAAAATTTTAAGTTTGATATAAAGGATGCTTCATAACTCTACCTACACACAGCAGGCATGTGTAGAGGATCTGAAAATATGCTGATTTGTTATGTCAAATTTTTTTCTGAGATATACCGTTGCAGAGATATTGGCCTCTGAAGATGAGTGTTAAATTTTGAAAAACAATATTTCAGCAATGCCTCACCATAGAGCAACCAAATTTGGACATCGCTTGTGTTTATTGTTATCTTTAATTGATCGGACAAAAAGTAAAGTATGCAGTTTTATGACTAGTAGGCTATGATTTCATGTGTCATTTTTGACGTTTACAAAAATTTATCAAGAAAAAGCAATTAATAAAAGAGGAACCTTACAAACATTAACAAATTTAACTTTAACCTCATGAACTACCGATATCGTTAAATAGCAATAAAATACATAACAAATCGGCATATTTTAAGAAACTCATGTGCCTGCTCTGTGTCGGTAAAGTTATGAAACACCCTATATGTATAACTCTGAAACGTAATGGTCAATGGCTTTTTATATTTCTTTGAAATTGGAATAAACTTTCCTAAAGTTTTGGTTTTTATCATTTTTTCTAGATAGACAAGCAAAAAAGACAAGGAAGTGGAAATTTATGTGGGTAAAGCTGTAATATTTAGAAACATTTATTTGTATGCATAAGTCAGCATCAGAGCTTTCTTTGAGGCATCATCCATGGTAATAATTATTGTCGTTGCATGATGGTACTTTTTAATTAAAATGAAAAAACTGTTTTTTAACAAAATTTTTCAAAAACAATTTTTTTTCAATGAAGTGTTTGCCCCCTTTTCAGATATTGCCATAAAATAAAATAACGTGGTAAAAGACTTGACCCGTTTGTTTTGTTTTTGGAAGACATTGTTATTTAACTAGCAATTAAAAAAATTTTAAAAGTGAAGCAAATTTGATGTGCGGCTGTCACATACTAGACTATACCGTAATTGCGCCATCTGTTAGTAGGAAGCTCAACTAAAATCTCATATCACTACTTCTTCTTGTATTTAGTAATAGAGACAGAGAAGATACGCAAATAAGCACTTTTCTGTCTATAGTCTAGCACCTTACAAGTCGATAACAGTAGCGTACAATTCGAATAAAAAATTTTAAAAATAATAAATTTTAAAATTAAAAAATAAAATTTGAGTAAGGAACTATCGGAAGCCATTCCGCTTGTTCATACAGTTCGTATCAACTTTCATTATTGATAAGTATTCAGTGATAAAACACTAAACCATTCTTTTGTTGCAAACATCCCATTATGATCAAATTTTTTCTTAATTAAATAATATATAAGGAAAAACCGAAAACTATGCCAGAAAATAAATAACTTCAGACAATACCATCATTTCTTCGTGTTCCAGTATACAGGCTGCCACGTATAAGAACAGACACAGAACAGGTACATGAAGGGGTACCTAAAATATTGTAATTAACATCACCAAAAAAACAGGCTATGAATTTGTAACTCAAATTTGACAATTAATAGATACAGATTTCAGTCTTCAGCAAACTCTTTTAAGAAACAAGTACAGGCATACGGGTTTCTTCACGGTAAGTGGCCTATTAAACGTTTCAGAGGAACCAAATACAATATAATATAACACTGAAATTTTGTCTGCGGGGGTTGAAAATAATGCCATCAACGTAGCACTTCCGATTTGATTTTCTATAATATGATGCAAAAAGATACAGGATATTCCATTAAATTTTAAAACTTTTGACGGTTTTAAGTTTTTAAAATGTAACATAAAAAATGGGACAATTATTATAATTTTCTTCAGGTAATTTTGATAGCGGAAGGTAGTTCATTTTATGTTCTTTGCGTATCCCGAAAAACAAGTGAAAGCTCCCAGAACGAAGAAAGATATAAAGAATTTTTCGAAACGCTTGCATCTGTCAAAATTTTTATAAAATGCTGATTATCTCGAAAACGGTTAGATTTAAATACAGGAACCTTTAATATTTTTTACTTATTTATCTTGTCGATAATGCAATAATGTATAGGGTGTTCCATTTAAAATAACGAAGTTGACAGCTACTTCTAGTATAGCCGGAAGCGCTAGGTTGATGACATTATTTTCATTGATGAGAACATGTCTGATAACTCCCGTAAACAAAATTTCAGTCATATTGTCTCTGGTTCCTCTGAAATGTTTAATAGGCTACATACCGTGAAGAACCCTTATATTTTAGAATGCAAATTTTTGAACATAAAAAAAATATTTTAATGGCAACTTAATCAGAAAACAAAATTGTTAAGCTAACAATGTAATCTAAAAGCATAAAAAAAATTATTAAGCTGTAAGTTTATCTAATGCATAAATTTATTCTTCGCCGATAATAAAAATTCACTCTAACCAATAAATAACTTGTGATCATCTTTTATCAAGTTAACATTTATTGATAATACGATTCATCAAAGTTGTAATCTGAAGTCCATGGTAATTTTCTAGCAAACAAACAACTTGCCATTTAAGCGATGTCTGTCAGTAATACCCACCCAAACACTTATTTTAAACCTGCGTTTAAAGTGTCGAGTTGCATAAGAGTTGATATACAAATAAAAATGGTAATTATGGTAAGATCGGCCAACCTATAAGTGCCAAATAAGAAAATACTGTGGTGTCAATACAGGGTGTCACCTAACAAATGTTACGTACTTCGAGGATAAAATCTAGATCCCAAATGGCGTCAATTTAACCAAAGCTGCTTAAGGAGGTTCAATACCAAAAGAAAAATGGTAAGAATGTTTTCAAAACAATTGAAATCTGTTAATAAATATGCAAACTGACTTGTGTAAAAATATCAGATCGATTGACAACGTAGTTTTTTTGAAAAATGAATTTAAAAATTATGCTCTTTTACCTTATGGGAGTTGGGAAAAAACTTTAATCAAACGTGAATATTGCTCTTAAAAATGGTTAGGATCGGGAAAATAAAATTGTAATTAAAGAATTAAATATTACTAAACATTTTAAAACAATAAAATTATGCACTTACAATGTAATTATTGAGATAATGGAATGAATAGATAACGTTTTGACAAATTTGAACAAACATCTGATCCAATGAAAGGAAATATGGCAACACTGTACGCTGAATTTAATTCTTGGACTGATGCGTTATATTTGAATAGCTCAATTATAGATTATAAAATTATTCCAGTCAAAAATATATGTAGTAATAATTAATATTAAATAAATTTTTCGTGATCTAAAGCAATATACTAGCAATTTGAAACAAAAATTGAAAGGATCTCTTTGCAAAACGAACAGTTTAGTTGTTATGTCATAATCTTCAATTTGACAAGTCGACGTCTCACTATCATACATTGAACTTCTTGATAGTTATCATATGGATTCTCGGTTTGCACATTTTATTTTTTTCTCATCAATCCACATTCTGCTTTACACTCATTTTATACTTTTCAGTCATTACTTTTCCTTTGTACCTTGGTTGTTCATTCATGTTTAGGGAATTCGCGCAAAGTTGACAGTAATGACAGTTGACCCAACTTTTACCACCACGGCAATGTTGCCAGATTTCATCCATAATTTTACAAGTTCGTAATGAATAAATAGACGCTTTTATTCAAATAAAAAGTGAACTGACGTGTATTAAACACGAAAAAAATATGCAAGCTAATATGTGTTGTATAAATTTCATTCTAAATAGCATACTTAGTTCGCTGAAATTAATTTATGTAAGGTTGGTACTGCAACAAGACTCCCGTGTATAAACATAGGCATACTCTCCGCACCGCCCGCCCCGTAAGAGGTATATCGAACGTCCTTAAACGAAAAATGTCGCAAAAAAAGTTAAAGTGTGTTACAGTTTCTTTTTTTATTCCTTGTTTTCTAACTCAGAACCCAGTTAACCGATTTGAGCAAAATTTGTTGTTGCTTTTCATGAAGTATTCAGTGATTATGTTCCTATTGCGTTAAATTATGGAGGGCGTTCATTTTACTACAACCCTTTGTGAATACTCTCCTGTAACTCTTTTGTATGTTTAAATTTTTACACATCAGAAATAGGTACATTCAAAGAAGAGTACAAAAGGAAGAACAAATTTTAGGAAGAGTAGAAGAAAATCCCAAAAATAGTATTCACAGTTTGTCAACAGTCACAGGAGTTGGCCGCAAAATCGTTACAACTATACTCCACACGTAGCAGTTAAAATTTTTCCATTTTCACCCTGTACAAAATTTGTTTGAACCAGACTGCCTTCTAAGATTAACATTTTGCGAACTATTTCTCCAGTTACATAACAGGGATCACACTTTTCTCGGGAGAATTGCTTTTACAGATGAAGCTGTTTTTCCCATAGAGGTGTTTTTAATTGGAAAAACTCTCATGTGTGAAGAAAATCCATACGCAATAAAAGCGCATCACTTCCAACACGAATTTTCAATTAATGTCTGTTGGGGGATTATAGGAAATTTTATTTTTGGGCCTATCACTTCTGCAAGGTTGAATGGCCAAAATTTTTTGGAATTCCCTCGGCAAGAACTTCCTGGGCTCTCGAAGAAGTACCCATTAATACTATACGACAAATGTGGTTCATGCACGATGGTGCCTCTGTTTATTATAGCCATTTGGTCAGAGATCATTTAAATCAAGCATTTCCAAACCGTTGCATTGGTTGAGGTAGTGACTTTTCTTAGCCTTCTCGCTATCCGGATTTTAGACTTTTACTGTTGGGATAATTTTAAAGGAATTGTTTACAAC